GTCGCCCCTACAACGATCTGACTGCCTTCTTTAACGACTGTTCACCCAATAGCAATGCAGTTCTTTGGCACGAAGGAGACACCTTGAACTTGGGTTTCAGACTGCCGACTCCCTACACGATGTTATGTAATGTTATGATATCACAATCGACGTCACTCCACATTTGGCATTCCCATGCGTGCTCATTCCTCCGATGCAGCAGACACTCCACAGTGACGTGATGTTGTGTTTTCGTGTGGTATTGTTTTATTTATGTATTTGCTGATTATGGCTCAATAGCTGCAGCGTTCACGTTTTGTTTGTGTTCGTTATATTGTGATGCTTGCTGATATACCTTTCGTTCGGTTTTATTTCTTTCCTTACATGATCAAGAAGCAGAGCCTGACACTACAGTCACAGACAACATCGTATGGGTAAATAGATAATTTGACGTCGCTGAAATATAAAGACAAGAAGTTGAGCAGACGATACTGTCACTAAAGGAAGGGAAACCGCCAGGTGTAGGCAATGTCCCAGCTGAACTTTAGAAACACAGAGGAGTGAGTAAGTAAGTTAATTTTACCCCACCAGGACATCATACAGAGCGATAAACACCCGGTGACACAAAGTGCCACTATGCGGATGAGGATCAGCTGTGGAGGGGTCCTGGAAACCCCGTTCACCCCTAAGGTTATATTAAGGCCCCGGCAACAGCCATGGTGGGGCTTCAAAATAACGAAAAATTGCACCCTACAAGAGGACGACGAATTAAATACAAAGGAGAACAAGTAACTAATGTAAGGACCGAAGTGTGCCAGAGAATCTGGGTCACAACTAAGTGGCCTACTGAATAGATACAATCGTTGGTGATACCATTGCCTAAGGAAATGTGAAAAGCTGAAACAATTATGGAACTATTAGTCTTATCATCCACGCAAGCAAGATAGTGCTAATGATACTGCTTAACAGATTTAAAGGAAAATCTGAAGACATTAGCTGAAGAAACGGCGGGTATACGAAAGAATGAATGCACCACAGAACAAATCGTCACCATCAGAACAGTGAGAGAAAACACTTTTAACAGAGTGTGACATATTTGGTTCTGGTAAATAATAAGAAATTATAACTTCGATAAGAACGTCATAGACACCATTGAAGCAATTTGTAAAGATTCAGACATTGCAGTAATCATGCCAAATGCTATTGGCAATTTTTTTTTTTTTCAAAGCCAGTGTTGGGAGTACTCAAAAATTTAATGGAAGCGTATACATAAATTCTGAACTCAAATTTGGATTTTCCCAGTAACTGCTGTAAGACACAGTTCTAATGAACGCATTTTCCTCCCATGTAACAACAGCAGCACAACTTTAGGCTCTAATTGAAACTTTGGGGGAGGTTACCTTTCTTTCAGTTCAAGTAAGTTTATGATTCTTGCAAACAACAAAATGATTATTAATATTTTTTTTTTCAAAATACTTGTTACGCATTATAAAATGCTTTACTGGTTGGAGTAGGAAGAAATATAGAATAGAAGATATATCTATCAAAGTGTCTGTCTCTCAACACCAAGATCAAAATATATAAAACGTTGGCTATCCTCCGAAAAACGGGCACAAAAGATGGCGGCCGCAAAAACACCCTAACAGAGCCTCAGTCACGTGTTAATTGCGCACTTTCGGCGACCTAATTTGCGGTTTTCCGGCGACTATCGCCACCGCTCACGCGGCGTGGATTGGGGCTAAACTAGATGGCTGGGACGAGCAGCAGCTTCCTCATCTCCTGCAGCTTTGTTCGTGAGCCCTAGCCATCTAGTTTAGCCCAATCCACGCCGCTCAATTGGATACTCTCGGCGGTGGCGGTGGCGGTGCCCGTTATTCGGAGGATAGCCAAAACGTTTATAAGACCAGTCGTTTTATAATATATGGCTCTGCAAAGTGGAGCACAACTGAAAGCGATGAAGCCTTATTACGGGTTTTCGAAAACAGTCTTACGACGAATTTTTGGACCTATCAAAGATGCAAACAGCGGGGAATGGAGAGTGAGAAGCAATAACAAAATTCACAATCTGTTTAAACCACCACTGATCACTGGCATCATGAGAGCTAATAGACTAAAATGGCTGGGGCATATTGAAAGAATGTCAGATGACAGAGAAGTAAAAACTGTGCAAACAAGGGAGATGAATGTCGTAGACCACGAGGCACATAAAGAAGACGAGAGAGATAATGTCCAAACAGGCCTGCCCACACCTGGTCTTACCAAGAGAAGAGAAGGCCAACCAGATAGATAATTGGAGGCGGCTGATATGCAGCTGTGAACCTCAAGTGTTCGGAATGCTGAAGAAGAAGAAGATAATCAAAATACTTGTTACATATTATACAATGCTTTACTGGTTGGGGTGGGAAGAAATACATACATGGCAGGCATTTCAAATGCACTACGCATGAGAGACTTCCCAGACTCAAAATAAATGGCAGGGACATCAAAAGAAACGGTAGACTGCGGAACCTAGGAATCACCGTTGACAGAAGTTTGTCTTTCAGGGATCACACAGAGGGGGTTGTGAAAAAGGCTCAAAAAGGTCTAAACGCACTCAAGATTATGGCAGCGATGGACATGGAGCAGAGAATGCTGTTCAAACTTTACCAGCACCTAATTATCTCAGTTATTGATTAGGGATTGGGATTACTCACTGTCTCGAAGAGTCAGCTAGAGAAACTGGAGCGCATACAGAATGAAGCTATGCGGCTGATCCTGGTTTGTACAAGAGACACCCCGATTGTGTGCATGCGATACATCCTTGCATTGCCGACTGTTGCAGATAGGCTAAAGGTGCTGCAGGCTAAGTCATACTTCAGAGTAGCTGCAGACAGGGAACACCCTCTTTATGAAGCTTTGGCAACAGGCAGGGGTCAGAGGCCGAAAAGGGGAAAATCGCGGATGGCTCAAGCATAAGACACAATAAGACACGTATGCATGCTGGAGAACATTGGGGGAGGAGAGGAGTGGGTCAGAGTACCAGCGGAAAAGTCTGACCTGTGTAGGGTTATGATAACATTGGGCTGGGTGTTCAGAGAGTGGCCAGCGGGTGCTACGGAGGTTGAAGTCCAACAGTTGATTCACTACAATTCACGCCCAGGTGATCTAATTATCTGTACAGATGGTTCAGTGTTGAGAGGAAAGAGAAGTGCCTTGGGATTTGTAGCCAAAGCCAAAGGAAAATCTTTAGTGCAAGACAGCCTAGCATATGACACCACAACATCTAGCATGAGAGTGGAGGTTGGGGCGGTAACTGCAGCTCTCCGGTGGCTAGAGAACAAGATGCATACACATGTCGTAATTGTAACAGACTCCGAAAGCATGCTGAAAAAGGTGAGGACAGGGATGCTTCGAGCAGAGTGGCTAGCTTCCCTGGAAAGGTCACGAGGGGTAATTATACCTTGGATCTTTTTTTTCCCAGGCAATGCCGGCGTGGTGGGTAATGAACAGACAGACAGATTGACTGGATCTGCACCACTGGGTGGTGAATTGATACATGACAAGGCAGATGTGGTCACGGCCCCTTGGGAACAAGCAGCGGAATCAGTAGAGAAAGAAGATTATTATGGCCTGGAGAGAATGAGCAGATGGTCTGGCCGGCTCACTAGACTCAGAGGAAAGGCAAGACGGGCTTTTAACCAGATTGTGACCAGTACCATCAGTATTAGAACTCTGCGCTGGCTGCTGAAGATGAGGACGGAGCATGCTCGGGAATGCCCCGAGTGCTGTGATGTCAATTCTGGACTCAACTCAACTCAACACACGTTTGAGAGACTTTGAGACGACAGGGTCAGAAATAGTGAACCGTTTCATGGAAACTGTATTAAAACCAGGACAAGCATGCAGAAACCAGTTGTAGTGCGAAGAAAGAAGATGTGCCCATCAGCTCCTACAGGGTGGGCACGTTGAGCCTGAGACACTATGGTTGCTGCATCAGAAGACTGAGCACGAATGGGTCAGATGTCGATGTGCTAGGTTGTCGATACGGACAACAAGTGACAATAAATTATTTCCCATTACAAAAAAAAAAAAAAAAAACCATCAGTAAATCAACTTTTCTACTAGCATCATCATCATCATGTGGCATGTTTTTCGTTGCGAATGAGCTTCGTAATGCCGGGGTGGGGGCTGATCCCAGCTGCGGGCCTTGCTCCTTGCGCTGGTTTCAAGGTAACAAGAAGCTGACGGTCCAGAAAGTAATGGCAAACTCCTGGACGCAAATTTCCCTAGAAAAACCGCAACAGCTAAAAAGTGCTGGGGTTGGTTCTGCGACGTCGTTTAAAGGATACGCAACTAACTTATACACACACGCGCGCGCGCGCGCTCGCGTCATTGGTGACTGGGTTACCCATTGGCTCCTTCGGTAGACAACTTCACCGGTGGCGACAGTATTTGGGTCTGTCAACACTGCAAGATGGGTGATGTGGTCAGCATCACGCCGGCCGCCTTTACTTTCCCGGAGCACATGATCTAGTCACAGTTAAAAGTGATGGTGATTAAACCTGACGACCCCCCCCCCAGCAAGGCACCTACCTACCTACACACGCGCGCGTGTGTTAATATATGTGTGGTTTTTTTTTTTTAATGTGTTCCCGAAAATAAACCAATGTTTAATAATTAATAATTTATAAAAACCTACTTAGTCTACCCAGAACAACTTTTAATCTATCAGATGATCAGCTATCTGTCTATTAGCTATAGCCATAAGGCTATAACTATCTATCAGCTGGCCGGGGCTCAACACTCAGGGAAAAGGCGAGACGGATACACAATCAGACAGTTACTGGTGCCAGCTGATTTGGAACTCTTCGCTTGCTTCTGAAAATGGGGACGGAGCGCTTATGGTGTGATGTCGATTCCTAATTTACCATTCAACATTTAATCTATCAGGTTTCACATCCGAGCCATCTGGAAACGACTAGATTATTGTTGTCGTCACTTCCTGGCTGCAGCCAACATCCTTACTAATTGACGTCAGAAATATGAAGCAACTGAGACAAGTCACACATTCTCTGGTAAACAACAACTGTAGTCCAAGGTGCCCGCCCGTGTTTCACCCTGTCTGCCCGTCACCTGACCACTCTACCGAACATTACCAGTTTCGGTAAATATGATGATAATTTAGATATTTCTCTTGCAAATTTTCAATGTGATTGTGGAGGTTTAGCTCATTTCTCGGTCCATCTCACGTTTCCCGGCCCTATCTATACACTCCCTGGCCTTTCATTTATACTCTCTCAGATTCTTCTACGTCGGAGGGGTGTCAAGTTGTTTTGCCTCTAATTACGTCAGCGCCGTTGTCACGTGTTCTGTACTACACAACGACACAGCTTTCAACGACCTCAGAACATCTAGAACTGGCCCTAATCCAACCCCCTCCCCCCCCACCATACAGCCACAGCCTGAGCCTAGGCCACACGAAAGACTCTTTTCGAAGAAAGCAGCAGAACCTGACAACCCTCTGACATAGATCAGTGTGAGAAAAGTGTGTAGATGAGCCGGGAAACGTGAACAGGTCTAATTTCTCATTAGCATCCATTTATCCTACATTAAAACAAACTGTTATTTCTTATTAGCGCCCCTGTCTTCAACGTCTTCGATCTTTGAGTTATATCCCCATGTTAGTTCCAAGCCCCGTTGTGAGGAGGCGGAAAGAAGGGACAGGGGCGGGAATAGACCCACTGCCCCCTAAAAGCATGTCGTAAGAGTGGACAGATTGGGGATGTTTTCTTCAAAGTCTGAGTGCATCTGCCTGAAAGGCAAGGAACCAACAATCTGCACACAAATGAGTTAGATCTGTCAAACAGATGTATACGCAACACTCCGATTCTGAATCAGGACTGCAGTCCAGAAGTGGACGAACAACAAGATCTCACCGCTGGAGTTTAAAGCCGGTGAACGCAAAGAAGAAGAAGAAGAAGAAGAAGAAGAAGAAGAAGAAGAAGAAGAAGAAGAAGAAGAAGAAGAAGAAGAAGAAGAAGAAGAAGAAGAAGAAGAAGAAATAGAAATGCTTTATGTCTGTTGTATTTCACAAATAAATAGTGTGGTCGCTGGTTTAGAGGGGTTGTAACTTTTTTTTTTCCTTTAAAGAAGCAGGTGAGCAAGGCTATTAACTGTTTGTTTTTGTTTGTACTTCGGTATGTTTCTGTTTCTGAAAGGTATGATGACGGCTACTCGTCACAGATTGGGGCTGTTCGATTACCGCTGATTTTGGGACAGCCAAGCAGAGACGGGGAGTTCGTGTTTCGACACCCGTAAGTGTTTCTTTTATTATCAAGCTGCCACCTACACCTTCCTTAACATGGACAGTCATCAGTTTCAGCGTTCAGTGTACTTTTAATTACCTCGTTTATTTTATTATTCTATTAGCAAGCATTACTTTAGAGGTCGCAGGTAGTTAGCATTAATTGGATATTTTCTCCGGGTCATGCCTGTGTGTTGGGAAATGAGCAGGCAGATAGACTGGCTGGCTCTGCACCACTTGGTGGTGAATTGATGTATTTGAAGTTAGATGTTGTAAGGACCCTTTGGGTGCGAGTGAACAGTGCAGAGGCGCAGATAGATAATTACAGTCTAAGAAAAATGGCGCTACGAGGAGTTAACAGTTGATCTGGTCGACCGCTCAACACTCAGGGAAAGGATGAGACGAATATACATTCACACGGTTACTGGTACCATGGGAATTGGAACTCTTCGTTTGCTGTTGAAGGTAGGGACTGAGTATTTATGGGAGGATCCCGAGTGCTGTGATCGATTCTCAATTCAACATTCAACATTGAATTAACTCTTCCAGAAAGCGAAGATACAGTACACTACTCGCAGTTTATGATCGTTAAAGATTATCTTCAGATAGAAGTGACCATGTGTCCTGTTTTCCCCGGGACAGTTTTTTTCCCCACCTGTCCCTCGCTGCCCCAGAGGTAAAGGACCCTTTTCCACGCCTCCATTCTTATGGGACAAATAAGGCTAGACCTATATTTTATAGAGCAATCGGCACTTGATGAGTGATATGGTCAGCATTCCACCGGCCACCTTTACTTCCCAGGGCTGCACCTAATAACCACAAAGGGGGGTCGACCTTGGAGCCTAAGCCATTTTTGAAAAAAGGTCTCGCTCCGAACCAACCACCTTCCGATCCGCAGGCGAGCGTCTCACCGCTCCACCACGGCTACTCAGACGTCAGTTGTCCTGTTTTGTAAAAATCTAGGAAGAAGCTGGAGATCAAAACATACACTAGATAAATACTTCTAAAGCCTGAGATGTGTTGATGGACGTTTCAACATGACATGTTTCTGTTTTTTTAAGTGCAGTTAAAGGTTGGCGTCTGTGGCTTATGCGTTGCGAACGCGTTTCGTAATGCCGGGGTGTGGGGTTCCATCATCCCAGCTGCGGACGGTTTGTCTTGCGTTGGCTTCAACAGTGGTACCGATCGCTGACCGTGCAGAAAAAAAGCAATAGCAAACCACTGATTGTAAAATGTGCCTACAAAACCATAACAGCCAAAAAAAATATCAGGGTTGGTTCTGCAACGTCCTGTAAAGGATACGCAACTACCTACATTTTTTTATAGAGCTTATATTTTCGTTTATGTCTTGGCGACAAAGCTTTGAGGTGTTGATACAGTTGTTGGGAAGTAATTAGCCCGTTTTAAGGCGTTGCGAGTCTGACTCGTAAGCCAGCATACCGCGATCGAAACCCACTGCAGGCTGCGTGGATTTTTGTCGTGGTATGGGGACGTAGCAGGTCGACCCAGCTTAAAATGGGTACCAGGATGGGCTGTCCTGGGAAAGTAAAGACAGCCGGCGTAATGCTGACCACATTACCCACAGAGTGCTGATGGTCTGTAAAAATATGGGACGCTCTGCCCATATGCCCGATGCGCCGAAAGGCGTGAAAAGGGATCTTTACTTTACTTTACTTAATTAGCCCGTCTCAGTCTGGTGACCCAGGGACAAAGAAAAGTAGTGAGGTTAAACTGAATTGTTTGCGGTGTCCTGTTTTCAGCTAAAGACATATTATGATCACCCTTTCTTCAGAGGTGTATTCCGTCCCTGCCTCTTCTAAACTGAAGCACATATATAAACTAACAGACGCCAAGCGAACTATCTTTACCCATCTCCTGCGGCCCTAGTCCCGCCCTGTCTGTATTATTGATCCCCGTATGAATTAGTAAGTAAGTTGTACCCCACCAGGACATCACACAGAGCGACACACCCCCGTGATACGATGTGCCACCAAGCAGAAAAGGATCAACTGCGGAGAGGTCCTAGAAAACCCCATTTAACCGAATGTTATATTAGAGCTCCCGGCAGCAGCCAGGCTTTGAAATAACGAAAAAAAAAAGCGTCTTATACAGGCAGAAGAACGTATAAGTTTAGATATGTCTCAAGTTGTTTTTTTCCACTGTTTAGGAAATGCGACCTTTCAGTTTTATTTACTGTTAGAGATTAAGAAAAAAAAAGAGTCATTATGGCTTCCAGATGCTCGCGGGCGTTCGATATCACTACCCAGAGGACAGGGGGAATTACTAGAAGTCCAAGTCCATGTGAATAAATTCCAGCCCTTTCCGGGGATTGAACCCGGAACCTCTAGCACTCGAGGCGGACACCATGCCCCGTGACCATGCAGCCCCACGCTCCCCCAACCCACTCCTCGGTGGAATACTTATGTATGATAAGGCAGACATGGTTAAGGCATTATGGAATCAAGTGTACAATTGGGATCCGAAAATTGATCATCACAGCCTGGTGATAGTGATGCAGCGGACAGTGATGAGAGGATCTGGCAGATACTTGACGCTTTGAAAGGCAAGACAGACACATAATCAGACTGCTCTTGTTACCAAGTGGTATCGGAACTCTGTGTTTGCTGCTGAAGATGGGGACGGAGCGCTAGTGAGAGTGTCCCGAGTGCTGCGATGTCGGTTCTTGATTCAACTCGACAACCCATATTACCTTCTGTCTCGTACACTTTCAATGAATTCTGACACAGATGATCTTCCATGTCATATAATAACATTGTCCAGCATCTTTTCTCTCCGTCTCTCCCTCCCTCACCCTCAACTTCCCCAATCACCATATACTCTGGTATTTTCTCCCTTTCATGATCTCATCTCCCTATCGAATGCTAATCATGTTGGCACGGTAACTGGGGTAGGAGCATGTCCTACTATTAGAAATGCTCACCTGGCGATGAATGATGGAGTGGACTCTAGATAAAGAGTTCATCTGTGAATAAGTGGTCATGGTGGACCAACACAAGCGGTGGTCATTGACAAGAGGCCAGTTAACTGGTGGGACAGCTAGCTCTATAAAAATTCACCAAACCTCTGTGACATGGTCATTGGCTGGTAAGAGGGGCTATTGTAACCCCTTCCCCCCTCTTATTCACCTCTGTTTAGACAAAGAAATACCCGCTAGCGAAAGAACACTTAGCCCAAACCAAAACCGCAATGAACTAGAAACCTCCCACACCATGGATATAACCAAGCCCCAGTGACAGGCTGAACGTTGTACTTGCATTTCAAATCAAATCTAGGAGAAAGCACTGCCGTATTTTTTCCCCTTAATAAAACATACCTTTTAACAAAGTGAATACAGCTACGAATCTTCGACATTAATTAACAAGGCAAGCTATTTCTTCAGGTCTCAGAGATTTGTTGTTACAGAAAATCCTTAGCATTCACAGGAAAGGGATAAAAAAGGAGAAGGAGGAGAAGAAGAAGAGAAGGGAGACTAGAAGGTGATGTTGGCGAAAAGGAAAAAGGAGGAGGATGAGGAAGGTGGAGGAAAGGAGGAGGAGGAAGAAAAGAAAAAAAAAAACACGTCTGCAGAGAATGACATCATCACATTGTACTTTCCAACAGGCCAAGTCCGCTAGAGAAACCCTTGAGGATACTACCAGCGAGTCCTGTGCCATGGTGGCCACCTGTCTGTGTGTAAGTTATTATTTTCACCTTGCTTTATTTAAATTTTTTTTTATAGATAACATGTATCTTAAAATGCGTTGGGAAAAAAAAAACAATGCCCAGTCAATGGTTGGTTTCCAGTTATAAGACAAAGAATGTATGTTTGAGAATCAAGGGGCGAAGCGGATACAGAATCATACAACAGGTATTGAAATGAGGAAAAAATCGGCTGAGAGAGCTATGATATTTAAGATGAAGGCTGGAAAATGATACCGAAGCCGTGACAAATAGCGTTCATTTATCATGTGTAAGGGTTAGCAGGTAACAATTATACTAGAGAGGGTAGAGGGATATTTTCCTCCTCGTCGCTTAGCTGCCATGGACGTATATATACGCCTGCCCGACAGACTGGTATTAATACGTCTTCTGTTTTGTGTCCTCGTTGCTAAAGACGTATTATTACGTCCTCGATCTTTCTTACAGATTGCTAAAATGTAATTCTCAGTAGTGAAATGGCAATACACATTATCGAAATCTGAACAAACTTACCCATTTACACACAGTTAAAACCCTTATCGCGTGCGTTTAGGTGTATTTAATTGCATTCGACTATATCTTGTGGCTTTGTTGCCATGGAACCCTGGTCGGTGAACGGTGCATTTTTTGCCCTGTAATATATTTCTGGTTTTGCGTTAGGCTACTCTTTTTAAAAAAAATGCAAAATAGCAAGATGATTGGTTAAAAAAAAAGTTGATGAAGAATTAATGGAGTTTTTTCTAGAGGGGATTAAAATAGATCCCGAATGATCAAGAAGAAGATATGGTCAAAACTGGTCCTTTTTCATTTCCTATTTTAATAGGAATTTCTAATGTAGCCCCCCCCCCCCGGCCATGTAAATTTTAAATTACAACTGTTATTAGCAGTTTCGGCAACGTGTCACAGAAGTATTAATTATTTATGGAAAAAAAGTAATAACACGGAGAATACAATTAATTATGACTAAAGCTTTAGATAAATCTAAATAGGGTGGAGGGTGGGGTGGGGTGGGGGGGGGGGGGGCTGGGGAATGCAATCCGTGAGAATTGTAATTAACAAGTGACGGCCTGGGATGAAGTGCAATGATTCTATACCAGTTCTTCCGTAACCCACCCCCTATATCCCCCCCTGCCCCACCCGGTAGGGTGAGGGGGCCGTAAATTTGTCGGTCCAGTTTGTGGGGGCGGTGGAACCGGCCATGGGTCAGTAAGAGCCTCAGATGCATACGGGGCAATGCCTAAACACATGGCAACGGTTGAGACGACAATGAAGTTGAAGCAAGAAGAATAAAAACTGTCCATCTGCAAGGAATGTAAACCGGTTAAAACATTCAAAGAATGTTCCTGCTGACGATCGAAGGGCTTTTGTTGTGTTATCTCTGCCGTTGAATTTCTACTACTTATGTGATAGCAGTGGAGACAACAAAGATAGGCTTAGCCGAGGATACATTTGCTTTCTCTATGCCAAGTGAAGCCGGGCAAATAAGTCTAGTTTCTAAAGTTTTCTTTCTGTGAATGTCTTTCTTGGCGTCGCCATAGTGCTTCTGATTTGTCAGCAATCGGGAAACTTACCTAGAGTATATATTTTGAGGTTACAAAATAGAGCCCTCACCGCCGACCTAACTTTTGCGACTTCAGGTAGAAGTAGAACGGAGCACTAATGGGTTGCTATCCGTGTGCCATGATGTTGATCCTTCATTCAAACTTTAAACTTTAAACCGTTGTTGAAAAGAGATTCCAATTTTCCAAGTGCTTTGAACTGTAGAGACTGTAAAAACTTTCTATAGAAATGAGAGCTAGGAAGGGGGGAGTGGTAATACTAGCCTGATCCAAGAAAGAAAATGAATGAATAAAGAGCGAGGAGAAATGTCTGGACACATACCCGTATCGACTGCAGTAAAACAAAGAAGGTGGAAACATACTAGACACACCCACAGACGAAAGGAGCTGAGAAATACAAAACAAGCATTGAAAATGGAAACAAGCAGTCTGAGAAAAAGAGGACGTCCAAGGCAAACATTAAGAACATCAGTATTACAAGAGGATAAAAATGCCTGGCTGCAGTCCATGTCAGAAATCAATACAGTTGCATGCTTCTGAAGTATGCTTCCTTGCGTTTCATAAACAAGAGAAGTCGATGGATCATATTGTACGTGTAACAGATGATCTCTGCAATACTGCCCAGTTGTGTGTGTGTGTGTGTGTGTGTGTGTCTGTGTGAATGTGAGTGTGTGTGTGTGTGTGTTTGTATGTGAGAGTGTGTGTGTGTCTGTGTGTGCGTGTGTATGTGTGTGTGTGTGTGTGTGTGTGTCTGTGTGTGTGCGTGTGTGTGTGTGTATCTGTGTGTGCGTGTGTATGTGTGTGTGTGTGTGTGTCTGTGTGTGCAGTAGAAAGGAAAGAGTTTATTCTGGCCTTATTTATATAAGACCAGTCCTGTGATTTTATACCTCCCTCATAGTTCATTATTACACTTTCACTCCTCCCCCCCCCCACCCCACCTGGGGGTTCCAGGGCCCCTATTGTGGGGGAAAACAAGAATAGACCTACTGCCTCCCAAATAAGCACATCGTAAGAGTCGACTAACTGGGAGCTTTCTTTAATGTCGAAGTGCAAGGAACCATCAATCTGCACACACATAAGTCTGATCTGTGAAACAGGCAAAACTCAGGTCCTGGAACAAAGCCAAAGTCCAGAAATGGGCGAACAACCAGGTCTTTCCACCGGAGTTTATAACCGGTGAACGTAAAAAAAAGAAAAAAGTACAACACTTTAATCTGAAAATACTGGAAGGTTCCAGGAAGAGGTAAGAAATACGTAGATCAAGTACTATTTTTTTTTCTATATATGAATTATGTTGTCTGCAGAAAGACAGATTATGTCGTTCAGCAGGCTGCTCCACCACGTTACTGTAGGATTAAAGTGGACGACCCAAGATGTCTTCCCAATGAAACAATAATCAAGCACTTCTAACTGGAATTGCCGCCTTTATTCCGAGAAAAAAAAAAAAACCACTATGAAATAAGATTACATGTCGATAACTGTACAGGACAATGTTTTAGGTGAGCCAGGTTAGTTAGTGTACAGTGTTCTTCCATTCATTCATTGTACTATTGTGCTATCATAGTTCATTCCGTGCAATAATTTTGATACCATGGCTTGGTATTGACTTTGGTATTAAATTCCTAACGGAATGTAATGCGTTCCTACAGAAGAAAAACAGGACTGAAGTTCAGATAGAAATAATGTTAATGAAAGATGTATGTCTGTGCTAGAGGAAGCTCTCAATAAATTACGTGTAGACTTCCCACCGAGAATATGTTTCAAAATCTGTCAAAATTGAGCCCTTTGGCAGTTTTATATCAAATATCAAGGACACAGTTTTCAGAGCTACCATTTTTACACCTGGCAGAAAACAACATAAGTATTATAAAAGAACAGTACAGAAAACTGATTGTTGTCAACTGGAAAGAAGAAGCTACATTTAAGAAGGATGGACTACCTACAAACAGGGAAAATTTTTGGCTAGGCGTACTTCGACACCAGGCATTTAAAAAGTTGGCCACTTTCGCCCTTACTTACTTAATAATGCCCGTTAGCAATGCTGTAGTTGAGAGAATATTCTCTCTTGTTACTTCGACTAAATCAAAAGCATGAAACAAAATACAACTGGATTTTCTTGATGCAGTTGTCAGAATTAGAGCAGAACTATTGATATCAAAGAAATGTTGCAAAGACTTCATTCCATCTGAGAAAATGCTTACAGATTTTACACCCGAAAAGGTTTATGCTGCATCTTCACTGGTTCCAGTGGGGATGACAGTGAATAATTCAATCTAAAGCTTTTAATGTGAAGTGAGTACAATGTTACACTTTATTTTGCATTTTCTGGCATATTTTGGGTGATGGTTTGGCATAAAATGAAGTTTTTTTATCTGGCAACCCTGCTCGATTATCTTTTGGGGGCTGAGTGGTCTCAAGGCGTCCGCCTCGAATGCCGAAGGTCCCGAGTTCAAGTCCCGATGAAGGCTGGGATTTTTTCACGTGAACTTCTAGTAATCTCCCATTGTCTCTGGGTAGTGAGATCGGACTCCTGTGTGTATTGTTGCGCACGTAAACAAATCTTGGCATTTAGAAATCGAAAAAAGTAGCTTAACGGCGCTGCCCGGGCAAAATTTTGAGTTAAAAATCTACCCAAAATATTTCAGGACCCTCGCCGGTGCTACGGAGCATGTGCACTGCGCTGAGCCACTTCGGACTCACAATTCAGTTAGAAGTAGAACAGGGCACTTTTTAGTTACTACCCGTGTGTCATGATGTTGATACGTTGTTCAAAAACCTCAAAGTACAGGAAACGAAAGTCTGTGGATAGATCGTATTTTTTTCTGTGTACGAAACAATGTTTTGGACTTGATTAAGGTGATCTATCCAAACACATGTAGTTACTCCCAAACCAAAACCGTCACATGCAGACACATGTGTCGCCAACATTATATAACTCCAAATATAATAATGGACCATATATTCAGGTCTTTTTTTTTCCTTCTAATAAAATATATGCATTTATTAACATTTTAGTTATTAAATTCATTTAATATTAAAAGAACCTGAGGAAAAAAAGTGGCTATACTGGTTCATAAACAGTGAGTCATTTTACTGGCTCATAAAAAGTGAAATTTGGGCAAATGCGGCCGCTTTTGCTTTTGACATATATAAAGAGTTCCAGAACAGACAGGAAACTATGGCTGTAGGACTGGATCTCGAAGATGCTTATAACAGAGGGAGATATGACATCTTAATGACTGCACTGATCCATGGCTGGTGAATTGGGTTGCAGCTGTTCTGCATTCACGTCGGGTTGCTCTCCGACTGGGCACATGGACCTCTGAACCATGCACTTTGGCCCCAGGACTGCCACAGGGATCCGCCATCTCGCCTGTGCTCTCCAACGTGTATACGAGCAAGATTGCAAGCCTAGAAGCACCAGGAGTTGGAAGGATACTGACTTTTGCGGATGATATACTTGCATATAGGCAGGGGGAAGAGAGGGAACAAACAGCTCGGGAGCTACAAGCGACAGTAGACAAAGTGGATGAGTGGTGTACAGAAATGAAGGCTGTCGTCCACCCAGAAAAGGCGTCTGTTTTGTGGTGTTCTCTGGACAACAGGATCGTTAAAGCTAATGTCCCAAGCCTCACGATAGATGGTAGAGACGTCAACAGAGAGAGCAAACTAAAGTATCTGGGAATTACATTTGACAGGAGCCTATCATTTAGGGACCATGTGGAGAGTGTTGTGACGAGATGCCAAAAACGAATTAGTACACTTAAGACTATGGCTGCAATTGACATAGAGCAGAGAATGCTTTTCACACTATATCAGCACCTGATCCTGTCAGTGGTGGATTATGGCCTGGGACAACTTACCGTCTCAAAGAGTCCGATGGACAAACTTGAGCGCATACAGAACGCGGCTATGTGGGTCATTCTGGGTTGCACCAGAGACACCCCAGTGTTGTGTATACGATACATCCTTGGTTTGCCGACGGTTGCAGGTAGGCACAAGGTGATGCAGGCGAAGTCATATCTCAGGGTAGCTGCAGACACAGACCACCCTCTGCGTGGAGCTCTGGCCGCAGTTAAGGGTCAGCGGCTGATAAGAGGGGGGTCATGGGTGGCTCAGGCAGAAGACACAATCAGACATGTTTGCGTCCTTGAGAACATTAGGCGAGGAGAGGAGTGGGTCAAAGTGTCACCTGAGCAGTCAGACTTGTGTAGAGTCATAATCACGCTGAGCCAGGAATGCAGAGACTGGCCAGCAGGTGCCACAGAGGTGGAAATTTAGCAATTAATTCACGATAATGCTCGCTCAGAGGATTTGATCATTTACACAGACGGTTTAGTGTCAAGAGGCAAAAGAAGTGCTCGAGGCTTTTTGGCAAAAGTTAATGGTCGACGTTTGGTGCAGGAGAGCCTAGCATATGATACCACAACATGCAGCTTAAGAATGGAGGTGGAGGCGGTCAATGCAGCTTTCCGCTGGCTAGAGAACACGACACACACACACACATTGTAATTGTAACTGATTCAGAAAGCATGCCGAGGAAGATCAGAACAGGTATGCTTCGTGCAGAGTGGCATGCTTCGCTGCGGAGGACACGAGTGAGGAGTATTGTCTGGATTTTTTCACCGGGTCCCGCCGGTGTGTTGGGAAATGAACAGGCGGACAGACTGTCCGGCTCTGCACAACTTGGTGGAATACTGCTACATGATAGGGCAGACGTGGTTAGTGCCTTGTGTACAATGCGGAGGAGCAGATGGATCACCCCAGTCTGGTGAGATTGCATTCAGTTGGGGGTGACGAGAGGTTCTGGCAGAAGCTCAAGGCTCAGAGGAAAGGCAAGATGGACGTTTAATCAGAAAGCTACTGGCACCATTAGTATCGGAACTCTTCGCTGGCTGCTGAAGATGGGGACAGAGCGCTTATGGGAATGCCCCGAGTGCTGTGTCGGTTCTTGAATCAAATCAAATGATTCGAATTGAAATTCGTTGTGTTTTTCATTCATCCATTCATTCATTCATTGTCATATTGTACCATCATCTGTCACATAGGGCTCCTTTCCAGTCTATTATGTGCAATCTCTTGGATATCATGGAATGAATCCAGTCCAACTTCTTTGGCTGCTTTAATCAGCGTTCGCCTTAGGCTTTCTCCTGGACGTCTTCTTATCCTTGGTCTCTTATTTCCTATTTCAGTTACTGTCTGGGGTTTCTCTGCTCGTCTCTTTTCAGAGTGTGTCCAGTACAGGGCCATCTTCTCTGTCTTTTAACTGTTGATGCTCTTCTGTTATAGTTAAAAAAAAAGTTTTTTGCGTATTCTTTACAGGACGTTTCAGAACCAACCCCACCATTTTTGTTGTGGGGGGGGGGGGGGCTGTTGGGGGTTTTCTAGTCATATTTACGTCTAGTAGTTTGACGTTGCTTGCTGGACGGTCGGCTTCTCGATACCACTATCGAAACCAACGCAAGGTGCCAGACCCACAGTTAGGATCCAACCCAGCACCCCAGCATTACAAAGCGCGTTTGCAATTCCTAAGCCACAGACGCAGACCTTCTGTTTTAGACAAATATAGAAAAAAAAAAAAAAGGTAGAGTAATTAGTAAAAATAAAGACTAGTACAACACGAGTGAGGACAGTTTAATGTATGGTTCCTGGAAGAGGAGGTCGCTAACGACCACAGCCATGATGGACATTGAATGTCAAGGACCTCCTAGGCATGAAAGTTCACGAGGCGGGCGAGTCTACAGTTGACCGAGTGGCTTGCTGGCTTGCTGTGACGGGATCAACGTTCTGCAAAGGATCTGCCACATAAAGACAATTGTAGACGGATGCTAGAGAAACTAAGCATACACAACACACTGTCAACTACAAACTAAGAATTACCAAGCAAAAATTAAAACAAAATAATCAACAGATTAGACATTTACACAGAAGCGAATTCAAGTTTTTTGACAGACTGTAAACCAAAGCACTGCCTTTGGGTGATTTTGTGTGTGATTAGGCATGGGCTGTTCTGAAGGTAGAAAGTGTTTCCTTTGGGGTTGGATGTCGTTATTTTCTCACTGGAGCGCAATAGTAGCAGTTAAAGGTTGTCTCTTAACTGGACAGTTAGGCATGGTAGGAAATCTGTATCAGAAACGATGGACACGACCCAGGACAGTAGGAAGCGCTCAAACGTGATTGAAAAAGTTAAAAAAAAAAATAAAGGACCCGTTTTCCACGCCTTTAGGCTATAGGGCATATAGGGCTAGACCTATATTTTTATAGACCAATCGGCACAAGACGGGTGATGTGGTCAGCTGGCTTTACTTTCCGGGGCTGCACCCGGTACCCACTCAAGGCTGGGTCGACCTGGGAGCCAAGGTCATTTTTGAAAAAAATCCGGCTCCACCAGGGAGCGAACCCACGACCCT